AGCATCATAACACTTACCCTGTAGCACTGGGTTAAGTGTGAAATCAGCTAACATACAGAAAGCTTTTAGCCCAAAGCCTAGTGGAAGACTGCTAGATAGCACTGTACTGCATGTCTGTATCTTGAAATTCGGAAAGGATTTTTAACTGGAAGAAATAGGGTAGAACAGAAATGCTGCATTTCAGAGGTAAAGGGACAGATGGAGAAAATATGTGGAGATGTGACAGTGGAAGGAATGTCTGAGTAAACTGAAAATGTCTAGCTTAAAATAGAAATAGTGGTAAGAGATAATATTGGAAAAGGTAAATGTCAGGTTAAAGAGTTCCAGTTATAGAGTTTATGAGCAGGGGAATGAGGGAATGAAACTTAAGCCCTATTACTTCCTGCCTGTGGCATTTGAACATTCAATTTATTTTTTTTAAGTTTATTTATTTATTTTGAGAGAGAGAGAGTGAGAGAAAGAGAGAGTCCACAAGTAGGGGAGGGGAAGAGAGAGAGGAAGAGAGGATCACAAGCAGACTCCATGCAGCCAGCACAGAGTCTGATGTGGGACTCAAACTCATAAACTGTGAGATCACAACCTGAGCCTAAATCAAGACTCTGATGATTAACCCGCTGAGCCATCCAGACATCCCTGATATTCAAATTAAGTAATGATTTAAAGTTTGTGAATTTTCCCTGGCTAAGAGAACCATGAATGCTTAAACTTTTTGTTTAGTTATTCTATTTAAGTCAACATGTGTTGCTATTAAAAAGGAACTACTTAGGGGCGCCTGGATGGCTCAGTTAGGCATCTGACTACAGCTTGGCTCAGGTCATGATCCCACGGTTCATGGGGTCCAGCCCTGCATCCAGCTCTGTGCTTACAGTGTGGAGCCCGATGGGATTCTCTCTCTCTCCCTCCCTCTCTGCCCATCCCCCCCCAGCTCACGCTTTCTCTCTCTCAAAATCAATAAACTTAAAAAAAGAAAAAGGAACTACTTAGTCTAATCATAAATCTTATTCCTCCTTATAAAAGTGGAGAGACCATAGCAAGAAACACAGTCTTAGATTTTAATACAAGGTCATTCGTTAGACTTGAGGGCCAGAGAGAGAAAATGACGTACTAAGTTCTCAATGACAAAATTCTGTGCCATGTTTCTCCAATGGATAATTTCAGGCTTGAATATCCTGAATGAATGAGGAAAAGCCCAAGAAATACATGAAATAGCCATGGTTCACTTACCCAGAGCTTCCCCCTTAAGATATCCTAATCATCGATATATAAATTCAGGTCAAAATATTTAATACTGCCAAGAGTCCATCAGGCCTTTGAGAGGGCTTTGGGGAATGGAAGTTGCTAGTTTTAGTGCAGAGGGATTATTGACAGAGCAAGAAGTAAATACCAGGTGTTGGGCTCCCAAGCCCAAAGTCACAGGGGACCACATAAAGGACCAGACCATGAGAAGGGCAATGACTTAAGTACACCATCCCTGTAGGATAAATTAACTGTTCTCCCTCTAGTTTGGAGATGTTTCTGTAACACATCACAGCCCCATAATTCAAAGATTAAATTTGTATTATTTGTCTGCAAAATTCTCTTTTCCCACATTTCTCTTGCATCCTATTTTACAGTCATGCCAAATTACTATACGGATCAAAGATTTAAATGCAAATAAATAAATAAACCAATGACAAAGTTCGCTAAAACAGAAAGAGTTCAGACAACTATCTTGAACCTATACCTCAATCAGACTTTATTACCCTCTACCAGCTAGTGTTTGCACAATTATTCTTGTTAAAGATTTGAAAGATCATTTGTATGTTTGAATATTTATGCATATTCATGAGGAAATTTATATACTGCACAGAATCCTCAAAGGTGTTGACACCTTAGAATATATCCTTCAGATATATGCAAAGTCTACTGAAAGCTTGTTCTATATTGATTTCCAGAAAATTTATTTCAATTCAGTTATGTGAGATATCCAATCTCATCACATTCTTGCCACTAAGAGATATTGTCAATTTTTACATCATATTCAATAAAATTTCTGCAAATATAATTTTAATATATTTTTAAATTATTATTGAGGATAGTATTGTCATTTCAAAATTCTTCCAAGACTTTAGAAGAAAGTCATATTGATGATCAGTACCTTTCTGTTCATATGGATATCAGTGCCTTTTCTGTTCCTTGCCTGGATTTTCCATGCGTTATTTGTTTTTGTATACATTTTCTTATTTTTGTGCTATTTTAAGAAGAGAAGCTATATTTACATATAAATAAGTACACATTTACATATCCGTATGCATGGGTGTTCATATGTAAATAGATATGTGTGTACTCAAATATATGTTAATATGTGTATTTATAATTTATATAAACTTATGTTCTTGACTATTCAATGGTCAAGACCACGATTTTAAAAATTTTTTTAAATGTTTATTTATTTTGAGAGAGAGCATGTGTAAGCAGGGAAGGGACAGAGAGAGAAGAGAGAGAATTTCAGGCAGGGTGTGGTGTCAGCACAGAGTCCCATGCAGGGCTCAATCTCATGAACCATGAGATCATGACCTAAGCCAAAATAGTCAGATGTTTAACTGACTGGGCCCCAAAGTGTCTCCACTTTTTTCTGTTTTAAATATTATTTCATAGTTTGTTTTTTATGTTTAGAAAGCCCTTTCCCAGTTCAACATGCATCCTAGATTACCTAGATTTTATTCAGTTTTGTTCCTTTATTTATTTTCCATTTAAACCTATAAATATGGGAAGTTTCTTAAGTGAGGCATTAATGTTTTACTAAGAAGCTAAATTTCTAAACTCTATTTTTTATGTAACTTAGACCTTTCCCATTGGTTTGTGATATCTTTTTTGTCATACACTAAGTTTTTCTATATGTATCAAGATTTCTTTCAACATTTGATTTGGTTTCATTGATGGATCTTGTCAATTCTCCTACCAGTATATCCTAGCTTTACTTGTTTTTAAAATAATACATTTAAGTATATTTCACTGATTTGAATTTAGCGATAAATCCAGAAAGATATTAGATAATGGTGAGAGCAAAAATCTTTGTCTTCTTTCTCTTAATACCTATGACTTTTATTTTTCCTTGTGAGGGAAGATTGCTTTATTACTAAATTACTAAAATATTTTGAATTCTTTTTTTTTGGTGGTTATTTTATTGATGTTATCAATATTTGTAATTGAATCAGTTTACATGAAATAAATTTATGTACATTTTTTAGTATAAATAGATTCTAAAACTTCTGGATGAAACTGTAATGTGCTGTTGTTTTTGTTTGTTAGTATTAGTGTTAGGAGTTTTACAGTGGTGAAATCAGTCTTTAGACTTTACATTTCGTGCTGTCTTGGTAGATCTTGATATCCATCTCAAGTTTTCCTGCATTCTGGAAAATTGGGTTTTTTTTTTAATGTTTATTTATTTTTGAGAGAGGGAAAGACAAAGCACAAGCAGGGAAGGGGCAAAGCAAGAAGGACACAGAATCCAAAGCAGACTCCAGGCTCTGAGTGTCAGCATGGAACCTGACACAGGGCTCAAACTCACAAACCATGAGATCATGACCTGAGCCGAAATCAGATGCTTAACCAACTGAATCACCCAGTCCCTGCGGAAAATTACTTTTTGATGCTTTTTATAAAACTCAACAAAAATGTTTACTGGGGTTGCATCTAGTTTTGGAAAATAATTTTTTTAACTTAATGATATGTGAAAAATTGTGTTTCATTCGAGTTTTAATTTTCATTTCCTCTATCATTAGTAAGACTGAACATCAGGAACTATTTTGGCATATCTTTGAGAAATTTTTTCATGTATTTTCCCATGTTTTTCCTATGTTTTGAACATTTTTTTCAAATTTTAAGAATTCTTTATATATTGGAGAAATTGTTACTTTCCCTGTGATATATGTTATAAATATTTTGTTTTGTTTATGATGTTTTCTAATGCAAAAATGTGTTTTACTTTTATTGAATCAAATATGTCAATCTCTTCTTCTGTTGCATGTAAATTTTGAGTTATAGTTGAAAAATATTCCATAAATCCATCTTAAAGAAAAGTCACCTTTCATCTCTTTTCATTTTCTTACATTTAGTTATCCTTATAAATGATATGAAATCTAATTTTAAGTTTTTCCAAATACATACCTAGTTGTCCCAACACTACATATTAAAAACTCCAAATATGCCCTAATTGAGAGTCTATCTTTATCATATATTAACCTTTATATGTACTTTGATCTATTTCTAGAATTTCTATTCTATGTCACTATTACCTATTCAAGTCAGTATCACACCTCCTAAATTTTTATTACAAATATCTAATGAAGATACTTTCTGATCCAGCTAGTCTAGTCCTAGATAAGTACCCTAAGAGAAACTCTAGTTCATGGACAGAGGGAGCTGTGTATAAGAATGTTCACAACAGCACTATTTGTAACAGAATAAAAGAAAACAACTAGATTTTCATCAACTGGAAAATGAGTATTTTACATTATAGCTCTACAATGGAAAACTTAACAGTAGTTTCAATGAAGGAAGCTGAACAAAACTTACTGAATGCCAAAACCATACACACAGTTGTGTGAAAAAAACAAGCTGCAAAAATGATCTGTACAGTCTGATCTTTAATGATCTTTGAACACTTAGAAAGCTAATCTGAAAATTTTTAAAGATGCATTAAGTCTAAAAAATGACAACATGAATGTAAAATGATCAGCAATGCATCATTAAAACACTTTTAACAAGGGTGGGGAATGAGATTAGGGAACTTTTTAGAGAAACATCAGTGTGTCTATAAATTTATTTTGAAAACACCTAAAGCAAATAGGGCATAATGTTAAAATTTCATAAGATTGAGTGATGTGTGCACAGGTGTTTATCATGTTGTTTTGTATTCTTTCTGGATGTTTGAAATATTTCACAATAAAATAAAGTACAAAAGGTATTATGTATTATTCCAAGTCTGTGATGTACAGACAGTTAACAATACAGCAAGATTAGTTATATGATAATATTTATTATATGAATGACGAATGTTATTAAACGGTGAGAACAAATAGAAGTAACTATTTGTTACTTCTGCATGTTTTTACAGACCCTAACCTAGTCACATTCTTTAAATAATGCCAAAAAGATAACAGAGCCCTAGAGACATACAGCACATACACACAACATTGTTTCTATTAAGATAAGTATATACTGCAAGATAGATTGTCAAATCACACAGCCCAGGTTACACGACGTGTCTGGACTTGTGGTCTGTTGGGAAAATCTTCCTTTGTATGAACAATACTACGAGGCATCGCCGGCTGGTCTGGTGAGGAAGTAACTTTGATAGAATTCCTAGATTCCTGTATGTCCTTAATTTCTCTGTCGGATGTACGGATGATGGTAAGGCAGGCAAAGCTATTGATGGACTGCTTGTATTGTAGGAGAGAGAGGACTCCTGGGGAAAAGAGAAGCCAGGAAGGGTGATGAAGGAACAATGGAGAGTTACAGAAACATTTCCTTACGTGTCAGCAGAAATTCTCCAACCCGGAGCCCTTTGTGTCTCTTTGAACTGCCCCAGGCCATTGGAGAGGAGGAAGCTTTAGTCGAAGAGATGAGAAGTGTATACAGAATAGCTTAAATGTTGTTCATGTCAACAACATTGAGGGACTCGTTTTGGAAGAAGACCTGCTTCTGGGTTGTGAGTGCAATTTCAAATGAAATTTTAAAGATTTTTTAAGAAAAGAAGGGTCTTCAGTGTTGGCAGGTGGCCATGTAATTTCAGATATCACTTGTCTTTGACCTCAAAGTGCCTCAACACTACATTGGACACCCAGGGTATACTGCTTCTCGCCACATCAGTAAACATTCCTTTTCAGCCACTCTCCATAGTCATGACTTGGATGGTTATCTCTGTCCGGAAGTGGGGAGGGTGCAAAAGACAGTAGAAAGGGCAGAAATGAGAGCTGCCTTTGGAGCAAGCTTATTGAATATTTCACACAGCCCTCATCTCCAACTCTGCCCTTGATGGAACTCTTTTCAGAGAGTGAGTCACCTGAACTTTAGCCCTTTAAAATGTAAGGATTGGCACTTTTCCCCATCCCGCCTTCCCATCCTTTTACTCTCCTCTCTATCAGGAGTGGACTGGTTTTCATCACCCTTCAGGGGCCTTGAAAATACTCACCAGAGGCCACAAAGAGGGAAACGTTTAAGTAGGCAGTGAAAATGGTCCAGGTAATCTTGTAACTGGAGTAGTACACGAATTTACCTTGACTTAGCTTTTGATGATACAACAGGAGTGCGCAGAGCAGAAGGAGACCTGATGCCCAGACAAAAGGGGAAGAGTCCCTTCTAAGGAACTTTGGCTCTTCTACTCAAGTCTGAACCCCAGATATGTCTGACTTCCAAATCTCCCCCCTGTACAACTGCACTATGTTAAAAAAAAAAAAAAAAAAAAAAAAAAACGGGGAGGGGANATCAGATGCTTAACCAACTGAATCACCCAGTCCCTGCGGAAAATTACTTTTTGATGCTTTTTATAAAACTCAACAAAAATGTTTACTGGGGTTGCATCTAGTTTTGGAAAATAATTTTTTTAACTTAATGATATGTGAAAAATTGTGTTTCATTCGAGTTTTAATTTTCATTTCCTCTATCATTAGTAAGACTGAACATCAGGAACTATTTTGGCATATCTTTGAGAAATTTTTTCATGTATTTTCCCATGTTTTTCCTATGTTTTGAACATTTTTTTCAAATTTTAAGAATTCTTTATATATTGGAGAAATTGTTACTTTCCCTGTGATATATGTTATAAATATTTTGTTTTGTTTATGATGTTTTCTAATGCAAAAATGTGTTTTACTTTTATTGAATCAAATATGTCAATCTCTTCTTCTGTTGCATGTAAATTTTGAGTTATAGTTGAAAAATATTCCATAAATCCATCTTAAAGAAAAGTCACCTTTCATCTCTTTTCATTTTCTTACATTTAGTTATCCTTATAAATGATATGAAATCTAATTTTAAGTTTTTCCAAATACATACCTAGTTGTCCCAACACTACATATTAAAAACTCCAAATATGCCCTAATTGAGAGTCTATCTTTATCATATATTAACCTTTATATGTACTTTGATCTATTTCTAGAATTTCTATTCTATGTCACTATTACCTATTCAAGTCAGTATCACACCTCCTAAATTTTTATTACAAATATCTAATGAAGATACTTTCTGATCCAGCTAGTCTAGTCCTAGATAAGTACCCTAAGAGAAACTCTAGTTCATGGACAGAGGGAGCTGTGTATAAGAATGTTCACAACAGCACTATTTGTAACAGAATAAAAGAAAACAACTAGATTTTCATCAACTGGAAAATGAGTATTTTACATTATAGCTCTACAATGGAAAACTTAACAGTAGTTTCAATGAAGGAAGCTGAACAAAACTTACTGAATGCCAAAACCATACACACAGTTGTGTGAAAAAAACAAGCTGCAAAAATGATCTGTACAGTCTGATCTTTAATGATCTTTGAACACTTAGAAAGCTAATCTGAAAATTTTTAAAGATGCATTAAGTCTAAAAAATGACAACATGAATGTAAAATGATCAGCAATGCATCATTAAAACACTTTTAACAAGGGTGGGGAATGAGATTAGGGAACTTTTTAGAGAAACATCAGTGTGTCTATAAATTTATTTTGAAAACACCTAAAGCAAATAGGGCATAATGTTAAAATTTCATAAGATTGAGTGATGTGTGCACAGGTGTTTATCATGTTGTTTTGTATTCTTTCTGGATGTTTGAAATATTTCACAATAAAATAAAGTACAAAAGGTATTATGTATTATTCCAAGTCTGTGATGTACAGACAGTTAACAATACAGCAAGATTAGTTATATGATAATATTTATTATATGAATGACGAATGTTATTAAACGGTGAGAACAAATAGAAGTAACTATTTGTTACTTCTGCATGTTTTTACAGACCCTAACCTAGTCACATTCTTTAAATAATGCCAAAAAGATAACAGAGCCCTAGAGACATACAGCACATACACACAACATTGTTTCTATTAAGATAAGTATATACTGCAAGATAGATTGTCAAATCACACAGCCCAGGTTACACGACGTGTCTGGACTTGTGGTCTGTTGGGAAAATCTTCCTTTGTATGAACAATACTACGAGGCATCGCCGGCTGGTCTGGTGAGGAAGTAACTTTGATAGAATTCCTAGATTCCTGTATGTCCTTAATTTCTCTGTCGGATGTACGGATGATGGTAAGGCAGGCAAAGCTATTGATGGACTGCTTGTATTGTAGGAGAGAGAGGACTCCTGGGGAAAAGAGAAGCCAGGAAGGGTGATGAAGGAACAATGGAGAGTTACAGAAACATTTCCTTACGTGTCAGCAGAAATTCTCCAACCCGGAGCCCTTTGTGTCTCTTTGAACTGCCCCAGGCCATTGGAGAGGAGGAAGCTTTAGTCGAAGAGATGAGAAGTGTATACAGAATAGCTTAAATGTTGTTCATGTCAACAACATTGAGGGACTCGTTTTGGAAGAAGACCTGCTTCTGGGTTGTGAGTGCAATTTCAAATGAAATTTTAAAGATTTTTTAAGAAAAGAAGGGTCTTCAGTGTTGGCAGGTGGCCATGTAATTTCAGATATCACTTGTCTTTGACCTCAAAGTGCCTCAACACTACATTGGACACCCAGGGTATACTGCTTCTCGCCACATCAGTAAACATTCCTTTTCAGCCACTCTCCATAGTCATGACTTGGATGGTTATCTCTGTCCGGAAGTGGGGAGGGTGCAAAAGACAGTAGAAAGGGCAGAAATGAGAGCTGCCTTTGGAGCAAGCTTATTGAATATTTCACACAGCCCTCATCTCCAACTCTGCCCTTGATGGAACTCTTTTCAGAGAGTGAGTCACCTGAACTTTAGCCCTTTAAAATGTAAGGATTGGCACTTTTCCCCATCCCGCCTTCCCATCCTTTTACTCTCCTCTCTATCAGGAGTGGACTGGTTTTCATCACCCTTCAGGGGCCTTGAAAATACTCACCAGAGGCCACAAAGAGGGAAACGTTTAAGTAGGCAGTGAAAATGGTCCAGGTAATCTTGTAACTGGAGTAGTACACGAATTTACCTTGACTTAGCTTTTGATGATACAACAGGAGTGCGCAGAGCAGAAGGAGACCTGATGCCCAGACAAAAGGGGAAGAGTCCCTTCTAAGGAACATAAGCTCTTTACCTCAAGTCTGAACCCCAAAAATGTCTGACATCCGAATCTCCCCCTGGTATAATGGCACTATGTAAAAAAAAAAAAAAAAAAAAAAAAAAAACGGGGAGGGGATGGGGGCCTGGGTGGCTCAGTCGGTAACGTTTGGCTTCAGCTCAGGTCATGATCTCACGGTTCGTGAGTTCAAGCCCTGCCTTGCACTCTGTGCTGACAACTCAGAGCCTGGAGCCTGCTTCAGATTCTGTGTCTCCTTCTCTCTTTGCCCCTCCCCAATTCGTGCTCTGTCTCTCTCAAAATTAAATAAACATTAAAAAAAGAAAAAAAAAGCAGCTCAGCAGTAGATCCCATTCAGGAGCTGCATATCTGAGCCAAAGACCTAGGAAGGTTGCAGCCTAGACCCATAAGCCAAATCTATCTCCAAGCCTGTGTCAGGGGAGCCAGGAGGTTACCTGTGAAGAAGCTGAGGAAGACAGTGATGAAGATGGTACGTTTAGTTTGAGGAATCAGGTAGGTGAATTCCAAACCCAGGAACAAGTTATGGATGAAGGAAAGGCTGAGAACTAAAATCATCATGGTCCTGACCACTTCCAGACCACCTGTTGGAAAGCAGAATCTATGCTGAAAGAGGGACAGATATTTCTTCTAGGCTCATTTCCACCTGGGGGCCACAAATCTCTAGGTAAAAATCAGAATGAGGTAAAAAGATTTCATTAAATAAGAAAGAAGAACAAGGGGAAAGAAAAAAGAGGGAGGGGGCCTTAAACTGAGTGGGAGAGAGAACCAGAAGAAACCATTCTCTTAGTGTTTCTGTAAGTTTCTTTCTCTTCCATTCTTTTTGCAGAACAGATTTCTTGTTAAATACAAGTCATCCTGTCCTCCTCCGGTGGCAATGCAAGCTATTTTCCTTGTTGCCAGTTACCTTCTTTTATACCCTCACGTTCTAGATGGGCTGACCACCCTGCTGCTACTGCCAATGTCTCTCAAATGTCCAGCAATTAACTCGATGAGCTTCTAAACTTTTCTCCAAAATATGCAAAATGGCAAGATTTTGGAGTCAGCTATTGATTATGGATCTGGGTACAATGCAGCCAGAGAAAGTTGTCCCAGAGAATAAAAATGAGTAAGCTGGTGAGATAAATGGAAGTCAAGGAAGATGAACCCTCTCTCTCCACCCATCTCTTTCCATAGTGTAGTTCTGACCTTCTGGCCAAAAAGTAGTGCAACATATCCAGGGACTGTGGCTTATTGTATTTGTCTCTGTTTCCAACGTCAGTTCAACCCATTTTCCCACGATGATTCCTATCGCAAAGAAGACTAAGGCCCAGGAGGAGAAGACCATGTTGGTGGCCTGGATACCTCTGGATGATATATCCACCATTGTGAGTGGAGATTTCAGGCCGAGACCACCACCAATAGCTCACATGCCTCTTCTCTGATTTGATTACTTCTTCACAAGAGGAAGAGCAAAATCTAAACTTTTAGTGATTGCCGAGGTATTGACAATGGCAGAGCTGATAAAGACTGTGGAACAAAGAAGATAAATCCCACTCCCCACTACTCCTATATCTGGGCTGGCCTGCTGTCAGGGCTGCTAACTGCCATGGAATCATCTATTGGCTTGACCCTTGACCCTGATGACCTGTGCAGTAGAAGGACCATGCCTGACTACAGGTCATGAGAGAGCTACCCTATATAGAGGGAGATATAATATCATATATTAGAGAGAGACCTGCCAGCTTTAGTGATAACTAAAGACCTTGAAGGAAGTTAGGCATTGTTGACTAAAAGGTCCAATTTTAGAGCTAGGATTGTATGTTCCAGGATTACTTGGCATTAGGTAGGGACTGGTGAAGGGCAGAAGGAATTCAAGATCATTGACAGGAATAGTCAGCCAGCTAGCACTACAAAAAGGAATGACCATTCAAAATATAGGATGTGTTAGAGAAACTTGTGCCCCAAGTTAGAGAAACTTGGAAAGCCTAAAGAAGTTAAGTAGGCATCTGGGAAGTAGACCAGCACCTTGAAACAAGAACTGGCTTGATACACCAAAGCATTGCACTCCAATATCATTTATAAGGCCAGACCACTATTTCTTGACAATTGTCTTTGTAACTTGACAGAGAAAACATTTGTGGATTCCTTGAATAGGCCACCATGGTATTCAGTAAGAAGACTTGTATTAAAATTCACCCCTCCCCAAAAAAAACCTTTTACTGAACTCAGATGAAAGTCATATCTAATGGCCTCTCTCTGCCTATTTCTTTGACCTTTCCATAGACCAGATGGGATTTCTATCACTTTGAAGCACAGCTTCAAACATGCTGTGCTTTCTTTCTTCCATACCTCTGTACATATATTGGTATATTTTATTTAAAAAATATTTTTAAAAATAACATTCAATATATTTAATCTTATAAGGGAGACTTCATGATTAAGAAAATGGACTCACAAGCCTAGCTTTAAATCCTGGCTCTACCTCTGAACAGTTTTGTGATCTTATAGATCATAATGCTTCCTACTACACAAGAATTTTGTAAAAAGATGACATGAGTTTAGGAATGTAAAGCACTTAAAAAGAGTTCTTGGCACATAACAAATGTTACGTAAGCAATTACCACAGTATTGATGTGGATTCCTTGGAAAAGCAACTCCGAGGCAGAGAATTGTGTGTGGAGAGTTTACTGGGGATTACTTAGCCAAGAGTCACATCTGCCCGTGTTTAAGGAAGCAGGTTTGAGGAGAGGTTGAACTGAGATGCAGTTGCAACAAAAGAAATGTTAGCCACCACCACCAGAAGCTTTGGATCTGGTGTGGCTTTTAGAGTCATCCTGAATGCAGCAAGAGAGCTCAGTTTGTCATGGATACAGGCTGCCCTTGGGCTGGTATCTCCCTTCTGCATCCAGGACAATTCCTCTATATGTCAGGAACTGTGAGCCTCAACAGCCAACATGTCGGGTAGTCTTGTGAAAGAGCTCCCACCCTTCCCCATCTTTTCTTTATCAGGGCCAGCTTGCTGTTAGGGCTGCCAACTGCCATAGAATCACCTATTCATTTGACCCTTGACCCTTGAGGACTAGTGTAGCAGAAGGACCAAGAGGGAGCATAATAGCACACCATGGCAACTTATATTTTTATGCTCTTACATATTAAGGCTTTTATTTCTACGCAATAGCTCCTTAAAAGTCAGATTCCTGGGCTGAAAGATTGATGCCTACTTTAAAAGTATAGATAATGGCACTAAGGATATAAATATGTAGCCAAAAAGGCACTAAGGATATAAAGATGTAGTACAAACTGGTAGAATGTGAGGGATTTGTGAGAGACAGGTCAAAGAGGAAATCATGTTTTCAGCTAGGGAGAACAGTAGTCAATGATGCCATTCAATAAGGTGTAAAATAGGGCTGGAAGCACAAGCCTGCTGAAGAAGATGGTAAATACTGGTTCGGGTTCAGTTTAGGGTGTCTACGGGGCATACAACAGACAGAATTTTGTGCTGGAACTTGACAACAGATTGAGAGTCATCAATCAGCCTAGGGATGGCAGTTGAATCGTGTGTGCATATCCTCATGGAGGGATGTGTCAAGAGACAGAGAAGGAAATCCTGGAGAACTTCAAAATTTATGAGAAAGAGCAAAGGAGGAGCAGTCAGAGAGAAGGCAGAGAAATACAAGTGTTGCTGAGGAATTAAAGAGAGGCTGGAGTTTTGAGGAGAGATCAGGCACCGATCCCTTTCTGGACAATCAGAATGTCATCAATGGTTTGGGTCACAGCATCTTCAGTAAAATGAGGGCAGGAGCGGCAGCAGAAGAAAGACAGGTAGTTTTTGCTGTTGTTTTGTTTTTAACAGGCAACTAGATGAAATAAACAACAAAAAGGGAAAAAGAAAAGTAGAATTGTAGTTTCAAGAGGAAAATGTGCAATCCTGGAAAAAATAGAGAATAATAGAATGATTCCCACAGATCCTTCATTCAGTTTCAGTGGCCCTCCCCTGAATTATTCTGAAACAATACCAGAAAATCTCATCTTGAAATATTTGTTTGTGTCACAAAAAGATAAGGATTGGTTTCTCCCCCTGCAGATTTACTTCCTCCCTCTCCCTCCGCACCTTAATCTGGTTTATTAGAAGAAGTTGTCACTTTTGTTCGTCATTTCAAGAGCTCCTTTGGTATCTATGCATTTGAAAACATTATTTTATTTTATTAAAAGGTGATTTCATGTTTTTATTTTATTTATTTTATGCGTTGTAGCTTTTTATTTATTTATTCTTAACTTAAAGTCAAGTTAGTTCACATAAAGTGTAGTATTAGTTTCAGGAGTAGAGCCCAGTGATTCATCACTTACATAGAACACCCAGTGTTCATCCCAATAAGTGCCCTCCCTAAAGCCTCTCCCCCACCAAGCCCATCCCCCTCCAACACCCCTCCAGCAACCCTCAGTTTGTTCTCTGTATTTGAGACTCTTATGGTTTGCCTCCCTCTCTATTTTTATCTTATTTTTCCTTCCCTTCCTCTATGTTCATCTGTTGTGTTTCTTAAATTCCACATATGAGTGAAATCATATGATATCTGTCTTTTCTTTTTTAATGTTTATTTAGAGAGAGAGAGCGTGTAAACAGGGTAGAGACCCAGAGAGAGAGAGAGAGAGAGAATCCCAAGCAAGGCTCCAAAATGCCAGTGCAGAGCTTGATGCAGTGCTCAAGCCCACAAACTGTGAGATCATGACCTTAACCAAACACAAGAGTCAGACACTTAACTGACTGAGTCACCCAGGTGCCTCGAAAACATTATTTTTAAATATATTCAGTTTAGGCTGTTACCTTATTTCCCTTTTATTTATTTATTTATTTATTTATTTATTTATTTATTTATTACTTTTATCCCCTTGAATTTCTTAATACAGTTTAAAATTCTTCTTTAGGGGCGCCTGGATGGCTCAGTCGGTTAAGCGTCCAACTTCGGCTCTGGTCTTGATCTCATGGTTCATGGGTTCTAGCCCCACGTTAGGCTCTGTGCTGACAGCCAGTTCAGAGCCTGGAGCCTGTTTTGAATTTTGTGTCTCCCTCTCTCTCTGATCCTCCCCTGCTCACGCTGACTCTCTCTCAGAAATAAATAAAACATTAAACAATTTTTTAAATAAAATAAAATTCTTCTTTAATATGCCAGGATTTAAGGTTATATTTTTTTCTCTGAACTGAGCTTTCTATGTCTTATGAATTTTTTCTACATTTTAAAACCCTTTAAAAATAGACTTTTTAAGAGTATTTTAGAGTCACGTCAGAATTGAGCACAGATGACTCCCTGTCGCCACACATGCGCAGCCTCCTCCATTATCAACATCACCCACCAGGCTGCTATCTTTGTTAACAATGAATGAACCCACATTGACACAACATCTTAACCCCAGTCCATAGTTTACATTCGGGTTCACTGTTGGCTATGTTTGACACATTTTCTTATGACTTTTCTCCATCAGTCCTCTTTTCAGGATTGCTTACTCAGAAAGAGCTCTTCCCTTCTAATGGGAGCTCTAACCTCTGTCATCCTCCAAGAGGATTAACTGCTGTTGAAGAAACCCCAACATCACATGGCAATAAGCTTCACCATTGGTGTAATAAGTTGCAATAGGCATAAAAAGGTATTAAAGGAAAGTATTACCAAACTTAAAGCCCTCGTGTAAAAGTGTATCCGCTGAACGGCCCCAGGTCCACTACGTATCGTAGTCTAGACCTAAAACCAGCCTTCTCAGAACTGGGGAGGAGAAAAGAGAAGGCAAAGATTTGCAAAATTGAGTATATAATCCACTTCATGTGACGGAGACCTAGATTCAGAATTTTACCTCATTCGACACGGTCTTTCCTTTCAGTTTCTGCTCAGCGGGATCGAAGTGATAAGGTGTTTTGTTTTGTTTTTTTCCATCATCCTTGTAATAAATTTCACTTTCTATTAGATTGCTTCCTTGTTATTTTCTTCTGACAAGACCACAGCAGAATTCTTCTCCTGCATTTGTGGATTATATAGCGAGGAGGTTCCCTTCATGACCTCCAGAAGTATTCACTAGATTTTTCCGCTAGAGAGCTTTAGCTGTATTGATGTCAAAGAGAAAGCCTATAGCTGGATAAAGCAATACATTTGAAATACACATCTCTGACATAGGAATGGTATCCAGGAACTGCTATAAATAAATAAGAGAAAGAAAAATCTGCCAGTAGAAAAATGTGCAAAACACATGAACCAGACATGTCACAAGATCCAAATGGTCAATAAACATATTGTAAAAGTGCTCAGCCTCATTTGTCATCAAGAAATTGAAGAAAGGACAGAAATGTTGAGCCGTGTGGTAGGAAACAGTCTCAAAATGAAGAATTATGGAGCAAAGATGATTTATTACTACCTGAATTACTTAAGCAATTTCTGAATGCTCAGAACAGTTTTAGGGCCTTTGAGAATAGAATATCCTCTAAGATATATCTATGCATAGTTATGAAGAATGTAAAACATTTCCATGAATATCCTTCCTTTGCTCTCTTCAGATAAAACTTTAGAAAATCTACCAGGTTTCTCATTGTATCACTATGGAATTAGCTCTTTGCGATATACA